ACATTTGGATATCCTCTAGACAAACAAACCCACTGTTTGGATTAGTGCTCCCTTATGACCTTTGCACATTTGAGAAGTTTCTTGTTGATCTTTCGAGTGGGTCAGAAAACAAAATAATTTGGAAAATGGGGCGCAGGCTCAACAACCTTAAGAAACTGCATGGAAGGGGAATATAAAGTCTGAGCTAGCTGAACTTGAATTTTAAACTATTTTTTAAATATGAATGATGCTTTAGCTTTGCCATCAATGCAGAAAAAAATTATCTCAGATAGGATATTCATACCAACACAGCCTAACGTACAACAGTTGATTGTTCCTTAAACACATCTATCTCTAATTGGTCTAGTTGGTGACTGAATCACAATTCCTTGGACTGAATTATTTGAACAGCTTATCTCTGTCCTTGAAATATGTTGATTTATTGTGTTTTCCTTTTGCAAAATGAGTTTGTCTCCCAATGGATTTGGAGCAGTTTAAAAGAAAGTTATCTTTTTAATTTACTATTAGACGTATATGTAGTTGATTCCACGTTTTATTTCTGCTTGGCTTGCTGTTATACTCTAGCTTTTACTTTAAAATATAAAACAAAACAAAATGTAATTTCTATGACATATCAAGGGAAGTCACAGTGACTGCAAAGTGGAGATTGCTTAGTATCACTACTTCTATAGCTTCATTTACATTGTTCACTTTCTAGGGGCTTAGTTTATTTGAGGGGGAAAGATGAGGAAAAAGAACACACACACACACACATATACACAGAATGGTTCTGAGCCCATTGGACTGTCATGGGCTCAGGTTGCTGCGATATCTGGACTCTACAACGGAAGGAGCAAAATCCAGTGATTCAGTAGATAACTTGATGGGTCTGGGCAATGAATGGCAGATTTATTTCCCAGCCTAATTAATGCTAAATGTAGCTTAAAGTCTTTCCCACTTCTACCTTATGATGCTATAAACATTCTCTGGCAATATTTTTATTCTTCCATGTGCCTATGATATGAGCAGCTTTAAGCTCGGTTAGATTTATTAGAGTTAAATTACTGTTTTCCCCTTGATAGCATCTGGCAATTTACGGATGTGTGCAATCTGCCAAACTTTGTAATGGTACAGTCAGTGTGAGGGATGAGCCCAGTACTTATCAGTTACTTCAAGCTTATAAGTTTCTGCCCTTGGTTCTGGTTCTCCTCTTCCAGCAACTCAGTGCAATCTGTTGATTCATTATATGGATAAATTGAGAGGGAAGTTAAAATCTTTCTCTGGATTTGAAAGAACTGGCTCACGGTTTGTTTATCTGTGTGCAGCTTTAATTTAACACTAAACCCATGTTCAAAGCAACCCATGTTCAAAGCAAATAACTGATCCATGGAGGTCTGTGCATTCCCACTTTATCAGGCATACCCCCATCCCACTCGCTATCTGATATGTGGGCTTGCAAAGGTCCTTGGCTTTGACAGATGCTAAAGCATGCAGGTCTGGCCATCTCTCAAAACTATTTGCCAATCACAACACTATGATTGGTGGATGATTTCCCCCAACTGGTGATTTCAGAAAAGTAACTCACACCTAAGCCAGAGGATTTAACCAATAGATCTGTTTAATACATTCTGGAAACCTAAAATAAGAATAAACCCCAGAACTGCAGTTACAATGGCAAGACAGACATTATTAGTAGGACAGTTGATTTTATGCTATTAATTTTTTTCTGATGGCTGAAGAGTAGGGAGAAAATTTTTTAGGGCGTAATGCAGACAAAGTCTGTGGCATTAAAAGAAGTAACATTAGCAAAAATGGCAAAAGACCTTCATACATCCCCTCCAATTCTGTTACGTTTTGTTTCTCTTTGCAGTATTTGGCGAGGCAAATTCAAAACATCAGCCAGGGATATTTCTGACAAGTGGACAGTGTTTTCTGAGAAGAGCATAATCCTTTAACACATAGCTTGAAGCACACATGGGGAAAAATTGTTTAATGATTATGAAAGTACACCTGTGGCTTATTTTTTAAAAGTTCAAAGTTCAAAAGCACTATAGAATACTATAATAATATAGTATTGGACAACAAAGATTATGCTTCCTGAACACTTTGAAATGTATCTCACAGATTTTTGGCTGCTAATCATGAAAATAACCTGTACTTTAACCTATAACATACTGTTTTATAGAAATCTTCTGTTTTTACACAATAGCAATGTACATCCTTAAGTACTTGTTGGTTATAGTGCACATGGGAAAGAACCATACAAAGACATGTAACTGCTGTTAAAACACATCCAATACATGAAGTACAACTGAAATGTTTGTGGAGATCTAAAGATAGTGGCTCTGCTGCTTAGAATGCAACCTGGATATACCAGGTATCGATGTTACATAAGCGAATAAGACAGCCTTGCAAAAAAGTTGTATTATAATAAAAAGAAATGGCCACTCTGAAAGAATTTGGTTCCAGGACAGAAAAACATGGAACATGAATCACTTTTTGACCCGGCAAAGATATTTTTGCCTCTGCTTCGTATTAAACTCAAACTGATGAAAACATTTTGTTTCCTATGTTTCCAAGAATAGCTGATGCCAAGATTACGAAAGACATTTTTGTTGATCCACAGATCGGATATCTCATTAATGACAAGCAGTTTGATTATCTATTAGGAGGACCAGAGAAAATTGCCTGAAAAGCATTCAAGGATGTTGAGAACTTTCTGGGCAACTACAGAGCACCAAATCACATTTAACTGGTTGACAAACTTCTTGCAGCATACAAGACCATGAAGTGCATCATTCACTGAAGATTCATTTTCTGGACTTCACACTGGACTTCTTTCCTAAAGTCTAGGTGCAGTCAGTGATGAACATCATAATGAAAGGTTTTACCAGGACACTACCACAATGGAAAAACTATATCAGAACAATCCATCAGTGCTGGCTGACTCTTATTGGACACAGCAGCAAGATTCATCAGACACTGAATGTAAATGCAAACCAGCAGCAAAACACTTTTAGCTCTGTTGAACTCATGCAGCATGTCAGAAATATTATGTGATTAAATACATTAGAGTCATTAAAAGTTAATTTCATATTTCTCAAAATTCCCATGAGATACAAACATTATGAAATTATATTTATATTCAATTTGAAGGGGTCTATCACAATCACTAAAAGGTCTTCAGGAAGCAAAACTGAAAAAAAATGCTGTCCAGTAATAATATAATATAATATAATATTATAATGTTAATTTAATGTATAAGGCTAATAATATCTCAAGCAACTCAGTAATGAATTAAAACATCCTCACAGTAAAGTAGATCCAAAATCAAGATTGGTGTGATTTTGTCCGCAATACATACAACACACTATAATATTTAGGACTTAAGCCTTAATAGAAATTTTAACTCAAGATCTTTTTTTGAGAAATCAACTCTCAGATTTGTCATCCGTCTCCTTTTCTTCTTCTATCCTGCCTATTATTTTCCACTCCATTCTGTCAATTCCAGCCCACAATCCCCAAACTGGTCTTCCGGTTGAACCATCAGGAAGGAAGAGGGGAAGCAAAGAGCAGAATGGTCGGATGTAGGTATATTTAGCACTAGGAATGGGCTTTATTTGGCCCCTGTATGTTCTGAGTGGGCCTTATCTAATAATGTACGGTTAAATGTGATCAAACTGGGGAAAAGCCTGCCTCTTCTTTCCTACCTAATGGGTCTCTTCCATGGCTTTCTCAACCTGAATGAAGCAACAATTTTAAAAAAAAAAATGCCAAGCATTTTGTCTTCATTTGTAATGTAGATCCATATGGAAAAATTTTTAAACCATTCACAATCTCCTTATTTCTTCATCTTCTATGGTTTGCATGTTCTGTATTGTTTTCCTTGAGGTAATCTCTTCCTCTGGCTCTGTATTGTTTTCCTTGAGGTAATCTCTTCCTCTGACTTAAGGCCTTTCTCTGCCTTCAAAGACTACATTGAATCAGAATCAGAATAGAGCTGGAAGGGACCTTGGAGGTCTTCTAGTCCAGCCCCCTGGTCAAGGAGGAGATCCTATACCATTTCAGATAAGGGACTGTCCAGTCTTTTCCTAAAAATCTCCAGTGATGAAGCTTCTGAAGGCAAGCTGTTCCACTGGTTAATTGTCCTCACTGTTAGCAAGTTTCTCCTTAATTCCAGATTGCTTCATTCTTGATTAGTTTCCATCCATTGTTTCTTATCCTGCCCTATAGTGCTTTGGAAAATAAATTGACCCCCTCCTCTTCATAGCAGCCTCTCAAATGCTGGAATATTGCTATGTCTTTCTTTTCTCTACACTAACCAAACCCAAATCCTGCAATAGTTCTTCATATGTTTTAGTTTCCGGGCCTTTAATCATCTTAGTTGCTCTTCTTTGTATTTTTTTTCTAAAGTCTCAACTTCTTTTTTGTAATGTGGTGACCAAAACTGGATGCAGTATTCCAAGTGTTGTTTTATGAAGGCTTTATAAAGCGGTAACTAATACTCCTAGTGATTTTGATTCTATGCCTCTGTTTATACAACCAAGGATTGTATTAGGTTTTTTGGCTGCTGCCACACTGCTGACTCATGTTTAAGTGATCATCCGCTAGGACTCCAAGCTCCCTCTCACAGTTACTGTTTTTGAGCCAGGTTTCATCTAATCTGTACTTGTACCTTTGGTTTTTCTTGCCCAGGTGTATAACCTTGCTTTTCTCCACATTAAATTTCATTTTGTTGGATAAGGCCCATTGTTCAAGTCTGTCAAGACCTTTTTCGGCTCCTGAGCTTGTCTTCTAGGATGTTGACAAGCTCAGGATCTAAAAAGATCTTGACAGACTTGAACATTGCTATAAATTGGAAGCCATAGAGGAAGATGGAATTCTGAATGAAGGCAAACATTTCTCCCTTTCTTCTGCATCTTTTTTATTGTTTTGCCCCTCCCTTTTTTATTTTTTTAAAAAAGAGGCATTTCCCTCCATTGCATTTCCTGATTTATTTGTTCTCCTCCCTATTCTTGCAGGATGGATCCCGCCAGCGCCGTATGCAGCCCCAGAAGAAGAAGAAGACAGTCTCCTTCAGCACCATGCCTAGCAATCGGAAGCTCAACAGCACAGCCGCCTGCATCTCTTTCATGCTGGAGGGCTGTGAGATGAAGAAAGTGCGCTCTAACTCTCGCATGTACAGCCGGTTCTTTGTGCTGGACCCAGACCTACGTTTCATGCACTGGGAACCTTCCAAAAAGGACTCTGAGAAAGCCAAAATTGAAATCAAGTCAGTCAGGGAAGTGCGAGTTGGGAAAAAGACTCCCGTGCTGCGTTCCAATGGCCTTTCAGACCAGTTTCCAGATGAATGTGCATTCTCCATAATCTATGGAGAGAACTATGAATCCCTTGACCTTGTGGCAAGCTCTGCTGATGTGGTGAACGCATGGGTGATGGGGCTGCGATATTTGGCCTCATACGGGAAGCACACTCCGGATGAGGCTCCTGAGACTGGTTACCCAAATCCCCGCACCTCCTGGATCTCTTCTGTCTTTGACATTGCAGATCTAGAAAAAGAGGGTCAAATCCCAGTTTCTCGTGCTGTGCAGCTCATTCGTGCTCTTAACCCTGGCATGAAGGCCTCAACAATTGAGTTGAAGTTCAAAGAGCTCCAGAAAGCAGCCAGTGAGCGACTTGGAGAGGAGGTGAACTGTCAAATCTTCATAAAGGCATACTGTGAGCTATGTACCAGGCCTGAAGTATTTTTCCTCTTGGTTCAATTTTCCAGCAATAAAGAATACATGGGTCTGAGGGATCTGATGAGTTTTTTAGAGGCAGAGCAGGGTATGGAGGAAGTAACCGAAGAGATGTGCATGGAGATCATTGCCAAATACGAGCCATCCAAGGAGGGTCGGGAAAAGGGCTACTTGGCCATTGATGGCTTCACTCGCTACCTCCTTTCAGCTGATTGTGACATATTTGACCCACAGCACCGGAAGGTGTGCCAGGACATGACTCAGCCACTTTCCCATTACTTCATTAGCTCTGCACACGGAGCATGCTTGGCTGAGGACAGTTGCTTCTGGGGAGGCTCCACCTCAGATATTGGGGGTTATGTGGCAGCCCTTAAGGCTGGTTGCCGTAGCTTGGAACTTGTGGTTTGTGATGGTTCATCTGGTGAGCCTGTGGTAGGTGCAGGGAGCCGTTTGGCCTTCTCCAGGGTAGTGGCTGCTGTTGCTGAACATGCCTTTGAGTCCTCCAAGTTTCCACTTATCCTGTGTCTCTCAGTGCGCTGCTGTGTTGCCCAGCAGAGACTTGTGGCTGAGTATCTAAGGAAGTCTTTTGGGGAGAAGCTGTACTTGACACCTCCAAACCCAAATGAAATCTATTTGCCATCTCCAGAAAAACTCAAGGGATACATCCTCATAAAAAGCCGGAAGCTTCTTCCAAACTGTCAGTCAAGTGAGGGAGATGTATCTGATGATGATGAGGCCTTGGAGCTAGGCCTCCCACTTTCTGAACGGGACAGAGACCATCCCCGCTCCCAACGCATCTTGTGCCGTGAACTTTCAGATCTCGTCAGCCTGTGCCAGACTGTGTCTTTCCAAACCTTTGAGACCTCTCGGCGGAGCCAGTGTTATTGGGAGGTGTGTTCTTTCAGCGAGGTGGAAGCGGGACGTTATGCCAATGAGGAGCCAGAGGACTTTGTGGCCTACAACAAGCGCTTCCTGTCACGTGTTTATCCGAGCCCCATGCGCATTGATGCTAGCAACATGAACCCTCAGGACTTCTGGAAATGTGGCTGCCAGATGGTGGCCATGAATTACCAGACACCTGGTCTCATGATAGATCTGAATGCCGGCTGGTTCCGCCAGAATGGGGGTTGTGGCTATGTCCTCCGCCCAGCAATTATGCGTGAGGAGATCTCTTATTTCAGTGCAAACACCAAGGACACATTACCTGGCATTTCGGCCCAACTATTGCATCTCAAAGTCATTAGTGGTCAGAATCTGCCTAAACCCAAAGGATCTGGAGCCAAGGGAGATGTCGTAGAGCCATACGTCTGCGTTGAAATGCATGGCATTCCTGCTGACTGTGCAGAAAAGCGCACCAAAACTGTCCTTCAGAGTGGAGATAACCCTGTTTTTGACGAGACCCTGGAGTTTCAGGTTAATCTCCCTGAACTAGCAATACTCCGGTTCATGGTGCTTGATGATGATTATATTGGAGATGAGTTCATTGCTCAATATACCATCCCCTTTGAGTGTCTCCAGGCTGGCTATCGTCATGTGCCTCTTCAATCTGTGGCTGGTGAACCACTCCCCAATGCTACTTTGTTCGTGCATGTGGCCATCACCAACCGGCGGGGAGGAGGCAAAGCACACCGACGGGGGCTCTCAGGGCGTAAGGGACGGCACATGCGGGAATACACATCCACTAAGGCCACAGGAATCAAGGCCATTGATGAAGTATTTCGCACAGCTACGCAGCCATTGCGGGAAGCAACAGACCTGCGGGAGAACATGCAGGTATCCAGATAGTGGGATACAATAACTTAGGCTCCTGAGTTTGGTTTGCAAAATTTTGGAAAAGAGCAAAATGGTGCCTCCTGGATTTTGAACTTTTCTGGAACACCATCTAGTAATTTATTTCCTGTACCATGTTTGTATTCTGAAACATTTCAAAATGGTAAAGATGAAACACATGAAAACGAAAAATAATTTTAAAAATGAATTTACTTTAAGAATATGTCTTAAAGGCAAGACTGCTCTTTTCTCTCGGTCTGCATAAAGATGATGGAGACTGACATTTTCTGAGGTTTTGGGGAAATCTTTTGAATATAGATCTGATTTTTTTTTTCTTTAATGTAAAAAAAGAAAAAATTAATAAAAAACTTGCACAAACATTATATTGCATATAAAAAGCTACTTAGCCCATTTTTAAGCACATTAAACCTTGATCATGTAGAATATTGATCAGTCTTTCCAGCACATAAACTGCATTCATATTTTTAAATGTCGCTTCTTTATAATATTATATTAATGAACTTATTGATATAAAACCAAAAGGTGAAACAGTATGACAAGCCCGTATCTTAAGAGTAAATATTCTTTCATCTGTTTTATTCTTCCAATATAGTAGAAATGATTGAACCAGCTTCTTAAACATTCTTTGGAGTATCTGACAAATATGAAAGAAAATCTTTTGTTGAATTATCTTGTCTTAAGATCATAAGGAACATATTTAATATTCTTTAAAACCTTTAGACACTGATTTGGGATATTCTGATTATTTATTCCAGAGTTCTTACAAATAACTAATACTGACCTCAATAATACTCTTCAACTGTTTATTTTAAAATGCTGCAAATTATTCAAACACATTTTCCTATTAATATTATTTTGGGAACTTTAGATATGGCTTAGACATAATTCATTTGGATTGAATTATGAAATCAAGAAATATTTTTAATTGAATAATCAGCCATTATGTCGCTGTAAACAATACAGATTTCTCTTGCAATGCATATTGTTTAAAAATTGATTGTCAGTAAGCTGAGCCAGAGTATTCATATCCCTAAATACTCATGACTTTGGGAAGCAACAATAAATGGTTTATTTACAATTTTAAAACTGGGGTGATTTCAGAGTCTAAATTTGTCATGCAAATAAGGACTGACATGCTTGAGTCACAATACCTTCCAAATGTGTCTTGCAGCCTGCAGCTCAGCCCTAAAATACTATATTGCTATTGCTAAATGTGGAAGGAGGCCCTTGCTATGATATCATAAGGGTCACACAATAACTTTTTAATCTTGGCCATCAATAGTTTTTTAACATCATCATTTATGTTCATTGGAGAAATTGAAATCAAAATAACATGCTCAGTTAAAAAGCTGAAGGTCAGAAAAGTTATGACCCGCCTCCCTATCATCACATGATAGCCATAAATTAAGTTTGTCCTTGTCATAGAAAAAATTCCGAATATTTTATCAATCTGCTTAAAATAACTTGCAGCTATTAGCAGATGAATACCTCTAAGTAAATACATAAATCTTGAGTAATAGTCACTTTTCTTTTTCCATAACTAGGCTTTAACTATTTGTTTATTTTTTTTAATCTGAGATTAAAATATTGGTGTATTTTTCCAGTAAATTAAGTAACTTGATAAATTACCAAACTGTTACATAATAACAATTGGATAAAAATATATATAATTATCAATGACATTAGTATTAAGTTCTTTGTGGTATAGAAATATGTTAAATAATAAAAATACAAACAAATGTGTACGTGTATAAACACAAACATACAGAAAAGTTCATATAAAAATGTATATATCAGATCTAAATTTTGCTATACTTGAAATCAGTGATCCTGCTCTGTAATTAAAAATGAATCTCAGTAGCTCTCCCTTTCTTTAATTCTATTTGAATACTTGGTAGTTTCCCTGTTGCCCCTGCTGATACCTTTCATTCTACAGGAAGTCCTCAATTAAAGGATGGCAATGGGTACCAGAATTTCCGTTGCTAAGCAACACAGCCACAAAATGCAGCGTTCATGTTATTGGCAATTCTGATATGATTGCCATTGTTAAGAGAATCACTGCAGGTCACTAAGTGAGGATGTCATTGTTGCCATTTGTTGCCAGTTACCCATTGCCAGTTTCCCCATTGCCATTGCTTGTCAGAAGCTAGCAAAATAGCTGACATCCGTGTGACCATGGACTACTGCAATGATCTCTGAGGAGATCAGATTGCAAGTACCACTCATTTAGCATTGTTGCGAGTTTCAACAGTCACTGAATGACTTATCTGAGGGCCACCTGTACTTTCATTTTATAGACTGGGAGAAATGAAGTAAAAAAAAAGCCAAACGATTTCAGTTCTGTTCATCTATCTGTGGTCTCAATTCATTGGACCCTGCTGTTTGTGTCACTTTAAAATAAAATATTAGATGTCTGCCTCCCACCCACCCCTCCTCACTGCTTTCGTGATAGGTGTGACTTTGCTGAAAAAAGAACTTCCATCTTCAAAATTGTTCAGAATGACTCTGATGTTTGGTATGCATCAGAAACTTTGCCCCCAAAAGAGGGGTAAGGTGAAGGCCTTCATATTTCTAAATCCTTGGGGATGGAGACACATTACAAGTTGGCGGTAGAAAAAAGTAAACGGAAATGAAAAGTGTAAAGGGATGTTCTTCTGAGTTGGTGTTTTTCCTCATCCTCTTTTCTTTTCCTAGAATGCCTTGGTCTCCTTCAAAGAACTGTGTGGTCTAACACCAGCCGCCAACATCAAACAATGCATCTTGAAGCTGGCCACGTGGCTTCAGCCCAGCGAGAAGGACAATCCCCCCGCGGTTACCCTCAACCTGGGTGAAGAGTATCCTTCAATGGAGACCCAGGGGCCTGTTCCTGAACTCTTGAGAAAAGTACTTGCCGCCTATGACACTGTGAGTGCAACTGGTGATTGTGAAGATGTTCCCCCTGGCCAATGCTTCTTTTTAGTGAATTGTGCTCTATTCGGATAACCTGGCCTGAGTTCTACTACACAGCTAATTCACTTTTGTAATAGAAGCAGGGGTGGGCTTCAAAAATTTTAGCAAAAGGTTCTCTGCCCAGTTGCTGGGTGGGCGTGGCCATGGTGGGTGTGGCCTAGTCAGCTGGGTGGGAGTGGCCATGGTGGGTATGGCTTAGTCAGCAGTGTTTTTGCCCTCCTGGTCTCCGGAGGCTCTCTGGAAGCTGGAAACAGGCCCATTTCTGGCCTTTCCAAACTTCTGGGAGGCCAGTTTTTCACCCTCCCCAGTCTCTGCGCGCGCCCTGCACTTACCTGCATCCAAAACGGGCTGCGTGGAGACTTCTGGGGGGCGACGGGACGGTAGGGGACAGTCAGGAGTGGGATTTGGGGGTTCTCCAAACTGCACAGAATCTTAGCTAGGGGCTCTCCAAACCCCTGCGAACCCCTAGCAGCCCACCCCTGAGCAGAAGTCATTTTGTAGTAGGCCCATGTGAGCATGGAACACTGGTCTTTGGAACATTAATCTAGCACAAGAATGGAAGGCGAGATTGCTCTTTTTGAGGAGTTCCAGATACTTGTCAACCATTCATTGGGACTTTAAAATGTCCACAACTCTCCAAATCAAGCCCAGAAAAAAGTCTCTTCCCGGATTAGAAAAAAACAGCAATTTTTTTGTCTCTTCCAATTCTTAAGTTCTGTTTGTTACCCAGAATGCCTTTGGAGAACCGAATTGGTAGTTGGACACAGCATTCTTTTTGCAGACCAGGAGGTAGATGAGAATTTTTTTCTTTCTTTTGGAAAATGTTTGAAAGCATCTAATGAATGACAATGGGAACAAGGCAGGCAAATATCTTAAGAGGACAACTAGCGTCGGAAGAGGGCCTAGTCTTTCTTTCTTATCCTGATCTCCCTCACATGAATGTTGTAAATATATAAAAAAGAGGGGATAGAAAGGGGAAATATGTACGATAGTTTGGAGAAATGGTGCTAAGTTATGAAGAGGACACTAAATTGTGTATGTAAAATAGGTATAGTTTAAAGTGTGTGTGAGAGAGATCACACACTCACATATACAAACTTCAAAAACTATGCTGTCACTCTCCCATGCGTATTTTTTATGACAAGGCAACATATATAATGCTCTCACCTTCTGTTTTTCCCACATAATTCTGATCTAATTTATATGATTGGGCTGAGAGAAGGTGACTGACCCAAAGCCACCTATCCAGCTTTCATATGTAAGGGACGCCAGAACTCACCATCTTCTAGTTTCTAGTCCAGAAACAACCTTTAAAGCCATGGTTCCTATTCTTGGATCCTCAGGCATTAGATACGTTCACAAAGCATGTTAACTCATAGTAATATTTGTTTGAACTCAGAAATTGTGAACTACCATTTATGCCTTACTGTTTTAAGAGAACCCAAGTCAATGTGGCATGTTTAACAAAATCTGATATAGTGTGCTATGTGAATCCAGCCATTCTTGGACTACATTTTTCATCATTCTCAGCAGTCTGGGCTGCAAATGTTGGCACATTTGGAAATCTGTAGAGTTTTATCTGGTTTTTGAAGTATTTAAAAGAAAAATATGGAGGGGTATGCTTGTATTTCCATTGACATTTGGCATGTAGTGGCAAGCTCAAGTTTTGGCTTACTAATACAGTCCATAAAAAGGGGGTTGATAGAACATTTCTTCAAACTACCAAAAATACAAAAAACAAAACAATAACAATAACAACAGCCCTCAATCCCAATACATAGGCAATTAACAAAGAGGCTAACTTGTGTGAACAGAGATTGTGCAAGTTGGACTGTGCTTATGGAGGAGCCATTTAACTTCCAGTGAATAGTACAGTTGAAGTCCACATTTATCTTCTCTTGGAGAATCAGGGCTCCAAGTAACAGAAGTGTTTCTCAATCTTGGCAAGATATGTGGGCTTTAACTCCCAGCTTTCTCCAATTTCAGGAATTCTAGGAATTGATGTCCATACATCTTCAGATTGCCAAGGTTGAGAAACGCTGGTTCAGAGGCATAGTGAAGTAGTAAAAAAATATATGTTGTGTATCCTATTATAAATCCTAAAATGCAAGGGGAAGGCAGATCCAAGGACCTCTGAGAGGTTGGGACACTGGCTGTTCTAAACCCATCCAACTATCACACATTCTTTCCAGTGGTAGGATTCAATTTTTTTTACTACCAGTTCTGTGGGCGTGGCTTGGTGGGCATGGCTTGGTGGGTGTGACTTGGTGGGCGTGGCATGGCTTGGTGGGTGTGACTCGGTGGGCGTGGCAAGGGAAGGATACTATAAAATCCCCATTCCTTCCCCACTCCTGGGGAAGGATACTGCAAAATCCCATTCCTTCCCCACCCCACTAACCTGCTTTCCAGCTCCGTTCTCCTGTGCAGGGCAAAAAAAAACAACAACCAAGATGATCAACTGGGACTTGTGAGGCAGAGAATAGAGGGGGGTGGGGCCAGTTAGAGGTGGTATTTGCCAGTTCTCCAAACTACTCAAAATTTCCGCTACCGGTTCTCCAGAACTGGTCAGAACCTGTTGAATTGCACTTCTAATTCTCTCTTTTCCCCACATTTAAATCTTCAGATGATCCAAACCAGTCGGACATTAATTGAATCAGCTGATTCTGTTCATGCCAAAATTATTCAGGTGCAACAAGCAGGTAAGTGGTGGCATAATATTTAAGTGAATAGACCTCTTTGGTTCCATGTTTTCTGATTTTAAGAATCTCTGGTTTATCACATCCGTTCCCACACTTCTGTAGAGTGTGGTCTTACCTTCTGAGAATATAAGTATAGAATTGCACCACCTTTGTCTGATTCCTCCGCCACTGTGGCTCAACTATCTATTGGAATATGGTCAGTTTCATACGTTGATCTATTGTGGTTTATTTCTTTGTTTCATCATTTCAAATGGAACATGTGAACTGGTTATCTTTGAATGAAAGGTGTTGGAAAATTCCATCTGGTATCATTGCTTCTTTATAATCAGTATTTTTAATTGAATTGAATTGAATTTGGCTGTCTGTTGTTTAAACTGTTACACTTTTCTCTGTTCTCTACTTTCAGTATACTTTTAAAAGCAATACTTTATGTGCATTATTTTTTTCTGTGTGAATTTTTTGTTGATAGCATAAATGTCTATAGCTAGGTCCTAAAATATCAAAAGTGGGGGGATGACCATCATGGCACTCACCGCAACACAATGCTATCCCATGCACCCTTGCAGAATCCTCTCCTTAAATTAAATTTTAACCATTGTCTCTGTGTCTTTTAAATAGGTCTATACCTTTAATTCTTGTATGCTTTTCCTGTACCTTTATATCTTGTTTCTGTCCTTTGTAGCTTCTTTTCCTTTCCCTCTTCCCTCTCTTCTTTTCCCTCCCCTTTTTATTCCCTTTTCTATCTGATTCTCCCTTCTGTGATCCTCCCTTCTGCTTCTTCCTGATATTATGATTGCTTTTCAAATTACTCTTTTTTTGGTTGTTGCTTCAATGCTTAAGTTTTTAACTCCCTTTCCCCCCTTTCCCTTTTTTACCCCGCTTAAAGTTGCTTGGTCACTAAAGATGGCTTCTTCTTTATCCCGCCCTTCTTGTTCTGCCAGCGTTTCTTCTTGTTTTTCATAGTTCAAGATGTCCATTTCTAAAAATTGAAATATGAAGCCAAAAGATCCTCTTCCGTCTTGTGCTTCTTCTTTTTGTTTTTTAAGTCTCATTTTTAACTCTTCAAGGAGTGATGCCATTTTAAAAAATTTTAAACAATCCCCAATTGATTTTATTTTGTTTCATTAGGATCCACCATCCAAACTTCCAGGAATCATCCAATAATCCAAAACTGTTTCTTGCTTCTTTTCTCACTTTCTCTTTCCAGGGGCTTTGTTCTCTTGTAACAAAGTTTCAGCTACAATGTATCTTTTGCAAGCCTTGTTAAAATTCCACTATCGATATTTTAAGTTCCAGGTGGTCTCCATTTTCCAGATTTCACTCTCTTGTTTCCTTTTTCCCTCCGCTGCTTTCTTTCTTTTTTTAAATAAAAAATTTAAATTATCCAAGAATCTTTATCCCTTTGACACTTTATTTTCAGCTAGAAATAGCCTATTAATGTCAAAGTGGATTAGTATCAATTTCTTATTTGAATCTCTTCTTCTTAACGTTCCAAGTTATTTAAAACTATCAATATGAGAGGAAAAAAAGCCAATTCTGTTTCCTTTCCCTTTCCCTTTCGCGACTTAAGATCTTTTTTAGGAATAGTATTAGTCTTTAAAATTCAGGTTCCAGGTACCTTAAATAGATGTTCTCCATTCAACCCGATCAGTCAAACTTTCTCCTTTAAACTTCCTCCTGCACAATCTTGTCCGGTCGGGTTCTTCTTTGAGGTGGCCATTTCTGACCACCGCTGCAACCGCCTTTGGGAAAGGGAGTAATGGCCAGCCGAGGAGGAGAGATGCAGCTCTCCTCAATCCCGCTGATGGCTCCCCCTTCTTCACCACCTCTACAGGGTGACTTCAGCCCCGAATCTGGGCGGCTCGGGGTGCTCCAGCGGCGAGCACGGATCAAAACCACGCACATCACGGATTTCGGTCCATCGCCGAAGAAGCCCGAACCGGAAGGCAATTTTCCTTTGTTTTGAATAACTAGTCCAAGCTTCCTTAATCAATTTGTATGTAGGGGACAAAGCAGGGCAGGATAAGGAGAGCTTATCAATAAAACAATCAGTAAAATTTAAAGTAGCATGAGTGAAAGTATGAGTGAAAGTAGCATGACCCACAATGTTTAATGAAAAGAAATAATTTTCCATATACATTGGTCAAAAAGCTTGATTTAAAAAAAAATAATACAATAAGTCTATAGTGAAGGAAGCAATACATAGCTGGGCAATGTTGACTTTTATTTTGTTGTGGTTGTTTCTTCTTCATCCCTTATGCTACTCTTGTCCCCTCCCCCCGGATTTCTCCAGGGATGGGCTTTCATAAAGAATTGCACCGTTTGGAGGCAAAGGAAGGTCTGAAAGGACGAAAGTTACAAAAAGCTCTGGAAAGTTTTGCCTGGAATATCACCGTTCTCAAGGTAATGTGAAGCTGTAGTTTATGGTAATTCCACCATTGAGAAATAAAGTGAAGGAAAAAATATTTCCAGGTGTGCACAAAATGTCTGAAGTACACTCTGCAGCAGCATGTTGGCAAAATAGGAAGCATTCCCAATTAAAAAGAAGTTGGAACATAATCCACCAGGGTAAAAAATTGGGTAATGAGAAATTTCATGAGAAATCTCCAAATTTTATTGTGTGCCTCACAGCTGTTAGAAAAGCCATGGAAATTTTATGAATCAATGACAACATGGCAAATAGTTGTGTACCAATTATGGGCATGGACCTGCACTACTCTCGAGTTAGGTGAACCATTGGACTGGGATGACTTAGCTCTAGGAGCCTTTTTCAAGTTAGAAACCATATATCCATGAATACTCTGATAAGTCTCAGTATGGTTAGCAAGCTGCATAACCAAGCATGCTTTCCAGAACATGCCTACCAAAATCTAGAAAAGATTTAAGAAAACATTCCTAGATGTTCCTCCCAAACCTTCCTCAGGATATCCCTCCTATCTATAATCTGCAGGAAATCATTGGGTAAGGTCATTTAACACCATAGGATGCAAATACAGTTTTACATCTCTTCCCCGGGCCAGACAACTGATACTATTCTTACTCAGTGTCTAGAGCAGGAGTGTCAAACTCGATTTCATCAGGGTTGTATTTGAGCCTCAAGGGGGCCAGGTATGTGTGTGGACAGGGTGGGTGTGGACAGCTTGACAACACTCATATCGGGGGCACCTGTTGTGGCCCAAGCACTCTGCCAACGAAAATGGGCTCCAGGGCTCCGTTTTCTGCTGTGATGGCCTCCTGCAACCTTCTGCCAGTGAAAATGGAGCTCAGGAGGGATGCACGCAGCCCCCATGAGCTCCATTTTGGCTCCGATGGTCTCCTGCAACCCTTTGCCAGCGAAAGCGGAGCTTGGGGGGGGCTGTGTGTGGCCCTCCCAAGCTCTGTTTTCATTGGCAGAGGCACTGTGGGCCAGTTCTTTGTTGTTTCTAGGGTGGCCCCAGGGGCCAGATCTAAGCACCCCGCAGGCTGGATCCAGCCCCCGGGCCTTGGTTTTGACAACTCTGGCCTAGAGGGTATGAGATTCTGAATTGGGAAGATTCAGGTAGGACTCAAGATGAAGCGTCTCTGAGTTTTGGGGTCCCCTGAACCTGGAGAGTTGCTGATTTTAACACTTGACGAAGTAGCACTCCCTTGGGTAGAGTTGGTGCACAATGTGGGAGTTCTCCTGGACTCCCAGTTTTAGCTTTTATACAACTTCATCTTGTGTGCCAGTTGCACCTATTCCCAGACTGGAAAACTCTGTACATGGTCACCCATGCCTTATAGTCCCTTTCCATTTAGACTATTGCAACATGCCATACATGAGGCTGCTCTTGAATGTCATCCAGAAACTTTAATTGATCCAGAATGCAGTAGCATTGGTTGTTAGCCACTTAGGATTGTTTATGTACTGTAATATGACCACTGTATAATTTTTAAAAATGAATAGTATAAGTTTAATGAGTTTAAATAAGAGTGGTGACATGAGAAGAGGCAACTGCATTGTTAACTATAGATGCAGCATGGACTGGGTTAAAAAGAAAGGCAAACTGACTTCCACACAGGAACGCTCTACTGCTCACCTAAGGAGAAGTTGTTTTTGGTAGTGGTGGTGAGATTCATAGGATTAGGAGTGGGGATTTTTTTTTCTAGACTTACACAGGCCTGGAAAAGACTAATCTCTCCTTTGTCATGTCTTGATTCTAATTGGGCCTCCTGTGGTTGTCCTTTAGAAAAATGACAACAAACATTTTAAATGCATTCAAACATTGCAATCTCTCTCTCCTGCAAGCTGCTTTTCCTAGAATCTAAAGCTGGCACATACTGCCATCTAGTGGTCACTGGATATTTATGTACTCATTAGAGGAAGAAAGAATGGAATGGAATGGAATGGAATAGAGCTGGAAGGGACCTTGGAGGTCTTCTAGTCCAGCCCCCTGCTCAAGCAGGAGAACCTGTACTATTTCAGATAAGTGACTGTCGATTTCTGAAGGCAAACTGATTAATTGTCCTCACTGTTATGAAATTTCTCCTTAATTCCGTCGCTCTTTGATTACTTTACAACCACTGTTTCTTGTATTGCCCTCTGGTGAATAATTTGACAAACCCCCCCTTCTTTGTGACCCCTCAAATAATGGAATACTGTTATCATGTCACCCCTAATTCTTCTTTTCTTTAGACTAGCCAAACCCAGATCCTGCAGCCATTTCTCACATGTTTTAGTCTCTAAAGCTGTTTATCATCTTAGTTGGTCTTCTCTGAGCTTTTTCCGTAGTCTCAAAATCTTTTTTGTAGTATGGTGACCAAAACTGTTTGCAGTATTCCAGGTATGGTCTTATTAGGGTTTTATAAAATGGTACTGATACTTCACGTGATTTTGATTCTATGCCTCTGTTTATACAACCCAGGATTACATTAGCATTTTTGGCGGCGGCTGCACACTGCTGGCTCATATTCAAGTGATCGTCCACTAGGACTCCAAGTTCCCACTCACAGTGACTGTTTTTGAGTCAGTTCTTGCCTGTAGTTATACCTTTGGTTTTTCCTGCAAAAAGTAAACCTTTGCTTTTCTCTACTTTAAAATTCGTTTTGTTGAATAGAGCCCATTATTCAAGTTTATCAATATTTTTTTTTTGGATCCTGAGCTTGTCTTCTGGGATGTTCCTGCCAGTATAATGTCATCTGCAAATTTGATGAGTTCCCTTTCTATTCCCTTATTTAAGTCATTTATGAACATATTGAAGAGTACTGGACCTAAGACGGAGCCTTGTCGTACCCCACTGCTTACTTTTCTCCATGTGGATGTAGGGACTTAAGGAATTAAGGACTACTCATTGAGTATGGATTTTGTTCTCTGGGCCACATTTTTGATGTAAGAAGTAGATGTTTAAAATAGGTTTCCTACTGGAATCTTTTATTTTCTTCTCCAACAATCATATTTCAATTTAAAATTGCTTTTTAAACCCAAAGTGAAGAGCAGACAATGTATGTTTCTTTAGAAGTGTATGAAGAAAATCTAAATCAAATATTACAAAATTTGTACAAACATTATAGTGGGAGGGAGTTGTTCATTTTTGTATAGAATTAAGATTCCGTGCAATTCCAAACAATGTAAAGAGTTTGTCTTCATTACATGTTTTGATTATTTTCTCATTTTAATTTACAAAAATCAAGTAGAGAATCCTTAATTTATGTTTGACAATACTTATTGTTGCCAGCTGTTTTTTTCATTTCTAGTGCTATCTAAAACATGGGCCAAGATTTAAAGTAATAAAGATAATTCTGTTTTAACTATGTTTATGCTAAAATTAAATGTAACACACTAATTAAATAAAAATGAAGAATTTAGAATAATTTTATAGTGCTAACTGAATAACATGCACTAGGACAAAATTTACCTATGGCAAATGTTAAAATTTGAGTCAAAAAGGAAGGAACAAATGAAAATTGAGATAAATCAATAGTTTTCTTCAGCAGGCATTGTACTCCTCATATTTTTTATTACTGCACTGCATGGAATTCTCTTTTTATCAGAGAGAGGGTTATTGATTGGGGGGATTTTTTGTGTTTTTTCAAATTCTAACAGCATTCACCGTATGTAATAGATACTTTTATTTCAGTGTAAAGATATTGTATTGAAAGCAAGTGAGAAACAGGCTTGCTTTACTGAATCTAAGTCTACCACTTTATCTTCAGGGCTGAAAGTTGAAAAACATGTTCAACAGCTTTAGAAATATAATATGTATGTTACCTAGAATTGTTTTCATGATGGAGGTAGCATATAAATATTATTCAAAGTTAAACAAGTTATTATGATAGAGAAGGGCATGCATGTGATATGGTGGTGGAAGTGATTAATATATTGCAATTAAAAGTTTTCCCGTTATATAGATATATGCAGTAATGCAATATTTAATCTTTTCGGTGTCATTTTTCATGGCCTTGAATACTTCTGTTTGCCAGTATTTTTTGATGTCCCTTACATAATTTCTGTCCCCAATGCACAGAACAGATTTTCAATTTAAATTCTATCCAGGTTTTTAAATATGCAAGTCTGAAGATTAAAAAATACATTTATAGGTTAATTCTTTTAAGCAGTTCTATTAAGCAAATCATTTAAAGCAGGCAACAGAGGCAAAGTGAAAAGCTAAAGCAGTATTTAATTTGCTGGTATGTTTGTAATGAAATGCAAGCTGCAAACTTGAAATGCTAATATTGTACAGATAATCTTTTGTCTATCATGTACGTAGAAGAACATTCTTCATATGGCCAGAAGTATTCTCTTCATTATAAATGCACACATTTTAGGGCCGTACCTGAGAATTATCCTTTGCAGTATTTCCTCTTTCTTCTTTGAACAAATATACAAGTGTTATCCGCTATGTGCATATTTATTTATTCATTTATTTAATTTATATCTCACTTTTATTATTTTTATAAACAACTCAAAGCAATGAACATATTTAATTCTCCTTCCTCCTCCAAATTTCCTCTCAACAACAACCCTATGAGGCGAGTTGGATTGAGAGACAGGTCCAAGGTCCACCCAGTTGCCTAAAGCGGACTAGGACCCCTCTCCTGGTTTCTATCAAGTGACCTTAGCCACTTGACCAAACTAGCTCTCCATGAAAGTGTTTGTTGAAGTATCCAGATTGAGAGGAAGGATTTGAACATTGTTTGGGTAGCATTTGCATTAAACAAAATTATATTTGAGCAATATTCCATTCCCAATCATAAATATTTCTCATTCATTTCTTGCTGAGGATGTCCTTGCTGATTTCTCAGGTTATCAGATTAGAAATGTAATTAAAAATTCAGTGTTCTGCATTTTTTTAGCTTCACATTTTCTTTCCTAAGCTTTCTAACCATCGTTCTTTTCTCATACCTTTCCTCACCCATAGGGCCAAGGTGATCTGCTCAAGCACTCCAAGGCTGAAGCACTAGATACGCTATGGCAAATCCACAATGCAGCCCAGTCGTGTGGCATTGGACGGAATGGAGCTGCCTCTCCTGACCTCTTCCGCAACCGAGCTGTTCTTGACCCCATTCCAGAAGCTGAAGGAGCCTGCGAGCCAGGATCTTGCTGACTGGAAATGGCTTGGACTATGGAAACCAGTGGGATTTGTGGACATAGATTGCCATATATACACTTAGACAATGCGGCAGATGCTTACATGGAGTAAGGGTTGTCTTCGACCCTGGGAAGGCAAATGAGAAAATGTCAAACAATTTGCAAATATTAGTGTCTATAACGACAGGGAGGACCTCCCTTATTGCAAGATTTTAAAAAAAAAAAAAAACCCAAAGAGAAAATTTTAGGTGACAGAAAATGTGGCTTTTACCTGGGAAATAGCGTATGTGAAACCTACAGATTTTTGACTCAAGCCACACTGAAATTAACAGAAAACTTTGTGTGCATTTTAGCAGGGTTTCTGGAGCCAAAAAAATTTCCCAATGGCCTGGGACAGCAGCAAGTACTCCTGATGCAGATTCTTTGAAGGAAGCTTGGGGTGTAGCAAGTAGCACGCCCTTGAGTTCCTTGCTTGAGTCTCCTAGCAAGAATAGTGATAGGCGTTGATGGTACTGCCCAAGTTGAGTTCCTGTCTAATATTGCTCAAGGATTCTTGGCTGAAGATCTATTGGAAAGGTGAGCCTTGCTGATTATGAGTTGTTGCAAATCCTCTAACGCAGGGGTCCCCAACCACCGGGCCGCGGACCAGTATCGGTCCGTGGAGCACTCTGTACCGGGCCGCAAAGAAAATAAAATTTTAAAAAATGGCGGCTTTCTTCGCCTTCGGTGAATGCTGCTGGGATCAGGGATCAAGGACACAAATGAAAGAAGGGGAGGGAGGAAGCAACCAAAGCCTGTCCTGCTCTCCGGCTCAGCGGCTTCGGTTTCCTCCCGCCTCATTCCTCTCTCAGTCACTCTCTCGCTCCTCCACCAGCCCAGGAAGAAACTGCTTCAATAGAGCCGGCAGGGTGGCTTTTCCTGTCGGCGCAGCTCCCCCGAAGCGCCCGTTCACCCCCACCCCGCCGCCAATCAATCCAGGTTCAATCCAGTGCTCCGTTCTGCCTGCCTGCCTGCCTTCGTTTGTTTTGGAGCAGCTTCGGCTGAGAATAATAACTATTCACCTCTTTTTATCAGCCGAAGCTGCTCCGAAACAACCAGAAACGCAGGCAGGCAGGCAGAACGGAGCACTGGATTGAACCGCGGGCGGGCGGGGTGGGGGTGGGGGTGAACGGGCGCTTCGGAGGAGCTGCGGCGACAGGAAAAGCCACACACACCCCGGCTTCTTTGAAGCAGTTTCTTCCTGGGCTGGATGTTAGAGGTCCATCGTAGCTCTGAATGATCCCTAAACAAGGACTACAGGAGCTTCCTAGGGAAAACACACTGACTAAATGCTCCTCATTCAATTCCTGTTTTCACCAAACAGAGATAAGAGAAACATCTGCATGAAATTTTGTAGCTACACAGCTGGGCAAGACCTAGAACTAGAGAGACTGCAATCAGGTGTCTTTAATGCTAGTTGTAGGGTAAACAAAAAGTTTTGGGAATGGAAAATAGAATCTCCTCCACTGTCCCTGAAATGTTAACTGTAGCTTTCCTCAGAATAGCTCAGCAGCAGAAGTAGGAGTGGTCCCAAATGATATTGGGTTACATCTCCCACAATCCCTGAACACTGGTTAGGGTGGCTGAGGATGATGGAAATGGAGTATAACAACATCTGAGAGAGGCAAGACAGAGACCACGGGGTTAAAAGGAAGGTCCTCTTAGTTGTTGTTGTTGTTGTTGTTGTTTTGTTTCCTTCCTGCAGGGCTGAAATGAAGGGTGTCAGGTGAATGGTGATGGAGAATTCTTAAGGTTTCCTAGGTTGAATTTGGTTATTCTCCTAATGGGAAGTTTAGGCTTTTTCTTTTCATTCCCCTCAAAAAAAGGGGGGGGGGACCAAGGTAGTCAGAAAATAAAATCACTTAATCTTGCAAAGATTTGTGTTGATCATAAATCAGTATGAAAATAAAATCCAAATGTTAAACATCAAACCACTGTTTCTTTAATTGCATTCTCATTGCATTCACATCATTTTCTGTAGGAAATTCAGTTAAAATAAGTGAATGCTTAATGTTATCTTGAGAAATTATCCACAACTCTTTAAATTTGGATATTTTTCAAGGTTTTTCAAGATTTGGAATTGTAGAGATGAAAATTGCTATCTTCTGCCTTTGTGCAAAGCAGGATTTTGGTTATGTATCTTGGTCTCTATTTTACAATTTCATTTGGGGCTTGGAAGAAGGATGTAAGGTTGCACTACTTTTTTCTTTCCCACCGTAGAAGACTTGTTCTGGAATTAATGGGCTGGATTTTGTTGACAATAAAGCCTAAACTTCTCTTTTGGCTGTCCTGTTCCTTGTACTAATGGGTCATCCTTGATGTTAGAACCCTACATTAATACAACAGAATCAAACTACTTTATTAATAGCCACCCATGGCTCCTAGACAAGGAATTATAAACATGGTATTTCTTTGTTAAACATTCAGCTATATTGGTTAAGCACCCAACAGAGCCATATCGGAACCTTCCAAAACAGAAGACTTTGGGGCATCATCTAGATGGAGAGATAACATCAAAGACATGCTACAACAGCATTAATTAGCAATTGTTGAGGCTGCCAGAAGAGCAAGAACCAGAACTTTGTATCTCCCTCAATACCTAAAACAGAAAAAGAAGAAGTAAAGAAGGAGAAGACCTTCATCTACTGCACTTGTGTAAAGCAAATTCCACCTTTCCCTTCAGTTCTCTTTCAGCAAATTTCTTCTCTCTTTTTTTTTTATCTCTGCATTTCGTTATATTTCAAGAACCTACAGTGAGGCACAAAGAAAACTAAACACTTTTTGAGATGCTTGGCATCAAGAATTATGGAGGCTTAGCCTTTTAGTTTGGTCTTCTAGTTCAGGGGTCTCCAACCTTGGCAACTTCAACTCCCAGAGTTCTGGAAGTTGAAGTCCACAAGTCTTAAAGTTGCCAAGGTTGGAGACCCCTGTTCTAGTTGAAGCTCACTAGAACAACATTCCACAAACACATAAAATTGAGCATTAAGTTACTGCCCTATGAGGATAACTATTGTTTGAGAGAAGAGTTATTTTGGATATTTGTTCTTGTTGACAACAACTTACTAAACAGGAAAGGCAGAATAGATATTCCCACCTTTGGGTCTTATTGTGCAAGGGAGCACTTCAGTCTATTATAGTGATTTCAGAAATACATTCCATCCTCAGTAAAGAGGCAGTTTCATTCCATTCAGTGTCATCTAATCTAATGGTAATCCATGCATGCATATATGTGGCTGTGACTGCGACGTTCATGAGGTTCTCATCTCAACCCCAAGACCTGGAATTCTACCCTGTGAATTAGAGATAGAAACAATGTCTTTGATTCCACACTGATAGGTACAGTTCCTTCTTTCGGCATACATTTGATGTCCCGTTACTTCCTTGGAAGAACTTAATAGACCAATAAATGCTTTCTGTAATCTTTTCTAGTCCTAGCAACATCAGTATGAAATTACTTGCCATGGTGTTCCAATCCAAGCCTTCTGAGAAAGAAAAGAAATCACTATGAAAAGATATTATGGATCCTGTAAAAACCAATCATCCTACTCTGGGCTTCTTTTTTTAGAGATTTGTATTCCCTTTTCTGTCTTTTTATCTTTGTAAGTTCAACAACTATACATAAGCCATAAAAATTCTATATAAAGGCATTTCTTGCCTTCATTTCTGGAAAAGTTAACAAGCACTGTTACTCTATCTCTATTGCTAAGTTGCTTCAGGACTGTCTTCAGTCTTCTATATTTGTGCCTTGTAGCAAGTTTCACAAATTAAGCTTTTACGTGGCTCAGCCTGAAGAACCTGTAAAATATTTCCTTCATGGAAGAAATGTAGATATGTAATCCTCCAAGATTCTGCTTACCCCTGTGTATTTTGTCCTGCTTTTGTCTGTTTTGATGGGTGACAAATCGAAATATCCTACATGAGTGATGGCAAATGTCTCCTGCCCAAATTAGATGGCTCATTGTAATGACATCAAAATACACAAGTGATGCTTGAATATTCCACATACTACCCAACATTCTGTACATTTCAGTTACCAGGGATTTCTTCCTGTGGTCCAAGTGCTTGGGCTATCAAACCAAATCATTGTTTCACCAGGCAGCAGTACACAATATTTTCTATATTTAGAGGATTGACCTTTTTGGCATTCAGGTTAATTAGTGTGCGATCATCGAACTGGTTGTTTCATCAGTTGAATCACACCATTGGTCATGAGTATATAACACAAATAGACTTTCTCCTGTCAATGTTTTTTAGATACAAAGAAGATAAAAACTTAACACAAATAGCAGAAAATAAAAGAAGCAAAGAAAAAGAAAAAAGTGAAAAGAAAAAATAAAGTGAAACAGAAAGCACTTTCAGATCTCCTTTGCAACAAATACAGCATTAGCACAATTACAAAATTATCTCTCAATCTGATTACAAAAAAGAAAACCTTTTCACTACACAGTTTTTTAAACTTATTTATCAAAGCCACAAATTAATACATTTTCCCATTTCATGTAAAAAGTCTCTAAAGCCTTCCAGTCAGTCATAAATGTAGGTATTGTTTTTTTCCAAGTCAGTCATAAATGTAGGTATTGTTTTTTTTCTCTGATCAAAGAAGTTAATTTACAAATTCCATCATCTTCAATTATTCCTTGTGAATAATTTCTTGTTCAGTTCTTCAAAAGGGTACTTTAAACCTGCACGGGGTGGTGGGGTTGTGTTCCTTCTTTGTCCTCTGTGGCCATCAGTTCCAGGCTGGAAAAAAATGGATAGCTACTAGATGTTAATGTTTTGCATTTATTTTGCTCTCAACTAGGGATAGTAGGGAGAAAATTCGCAAGGCATCACAAGGAAAGCATTAGAAGGTGAAGCAGTCCTGGTACAGTAGTAGCAGAGCCAGTGATGGGATCAAATAATTGAACAACTGGTTCTCTGCCCTAATGACTGGGTGGGCATGGCTGGGTGGTCATGTGACTAGATGGGTGTGACCAATTTGATTTGTCTCACCCTTAGGAAATTTCTCCTTAGCCCAACCCACAATAAAATAGCACTGTTCCAATATTTAGAATAGAATAACAGAATTGGAAAGGACCTTGAAGGTCTTCTAGTCCAACCCCCTGCTTAAGCAGGAAATTGTCCACCACTTCAGACAAATGATTATCCAATCTCTTCTTAAAAACTTCCAGTGTTGGAGCATTTACAAATTCTGGAGGCAAGTTGTTCCACTGATTAATTGTTCTGTCAGGAAATTTGAGGGGCTCCTACAAAAATGAGGGAGTCAATCTATTTTGCAAAGCACCAAAAGGCACAACAAGAAACAATGGATGGAAACTAACCAAAGAGAGAAGCAACCTAGGACTAAGGAAATTTTTCCTAAGGATGAGATCAATCAACCAATGGAATAGCTTGTCTTCAGAAGTTGTGGGTGCTTCATCACTAGAGGCTTTTAAAAAGAGTGAGAGAAGTACACCCCAAAAGGACAGTGCCAGGAACCACTAAAACAGGTGTCAGCAACATTTGATACCTCTTTGACAACTTTCCTGTGGCTCCCTGCTGACCCGGTCACATGACCTGTTCTCCACCCCGAGTCACTGGCCCGGCCCAGTCGCGTGATCTGCTCTCTGCCGCAAGAAGGCCCAAGCCTCTCCTCAGAGCTGTGTGGCTGAAGCGCCCTAGTGTTTTCTCCGCATTGCCCACGACCGGCTTTTTGCAATTCTGTGTCCTTTGCAGGCAGCTCAGCAACAGCCGCAGTTCCCTTTGTGTCAGCTCAGGAAGGAGGGGAACAGGAAGGAGCAGCTCCCGCTGCCAGATTTAGGGAGGGAAGAGCCCCAGCTCTCCTGCGCAGAGCGGCCGGCTACTCACCTGAGCACGCAGTGGTGGCAGCAGAAGGAGGAGTTGCCACCACTACTGTTATCCCAGCCCAGAGGGTAACCCGCTTGTGTGTGTGTGTGTGTGTGTGTGTGTGTGTGTGACAGAGAGAGAGAGAGAGAAATGAGAAAATGATGGAGGGAGAGAATGAGAGACAGGAAAGAGAAAAAAAATGAGAAAGAGGAGAGGGAGAGAGAAAATGAGAGAGAGGGAAAGAGGGAAACAAATGAGAGATGAGGGGAGAGAAAGAAAGAAAAGAAAAGAAAAGAAAAGAAAAGAAAGAGAAAGAAAGAAAGAAAGAAAGAAAGAAGAAAGAAAGAAAGAAAGAAAGAAAGAAAGAAAGAAAGAAGAAAAAAGAAAGAAAGAAAAAAAGAAAGAAAGAAAGAAAGAAAGAAAGAAAGAAAGAAAGAAAGAAAGAAAGAAAGAAAGAAAGAAAGAAAGAAAGAAAGAAAAGAAAGAAAGAAAAAAAGAAAAAAGAAAGAAAGAAGAAAGAAGAAGAAGGGAGAGGGAGAGGAAAAAGAGAGAAACAGATGAGAAGGAGAAAAAAGAAATGAGAGAGAAAAGAGAAAGAGAAAGAAATGAGAAAATGATGGAGGGAGAGAATGAGACAGAGGAAAAAGAAACAATTGAGAGAGAGAAAACGGGAGAGGGAGAGAGAAATGAGAGAGCTGGAGGGAGAGAAAGAGAGGGAGAGAGGAAAACAAATGAGAGGGAAGTGGGAAAGAAATAAAGTGGGAGAGGGAGAAGAAAAACGAAAAACACAAGAGGGACAGAAAGAGAGAAATGAGAGTGAACGGGAAAAAAGAGAGAAATGAGAAAATGATGGAGGGAGAGAATGAAAGGAAAAGACAGAAACAAGTGAGAGAGAGAGAAGGAGAGACAGAAATGAGAGAGAAAGGGGGAGAAAAAGGGAACGAAAGACAGAAATGAGAATGATGGAGGAAGAGAAAGAGAGAGAGAGAAAAGGGAAACAAATGAGAGAGAAAAGGGGGAGAGAAAGAAAGAAAGAAGAGGGAGAGGGAAAAAAGAGAAAAACAGAAATGAGAGGGAAGGAGGGAGGGAAGAAGAGAGAGAGAGAGACCCATTTCCCACAGAAAAGAAAACACTGGCAGTCACAAAACCTGGGATCATGTGACTGGGTGGGAGTGATTTTGAGTTGGTCACACCCACCCAGGTTTTGTGGCTCCCGGTGTTTTCTTTTCTGTAGGAAACAGGTCTAAATGGCTCTTTTTTTAAGGTTGCAGATCCTTGCACTAAAACAATGCAGAAAACTTAAAACAGCCATTCCCCCTTTTAAAAAAAGTTAACTGCAAAGCAAACACGTTTGTATGGTGAGAGTGCTGCAAGAATAAATACAAATGGGAAGGTGGAAGAATGTACAAATACATACAATGGAAGATTGGAAGTGAAGCTGGTGGAATTGGCAGAGATGGGAAAAACTTGATGAAATAAAAGACTTTGACAAATTTTATTTCTACTGGGAAACCCATTTTTGGACTTTTTGTGACAAGCTGAAAGAAATGAAAACTTGATTTTGGGATTTATTGCTTAGAATTGCATGAGTATGGAAATAATACAGACAAATGTAAATGTTAAAGGGTTTAATGCATGTGTGTGTGTGTGTGTATGTATGTATGTATGTATGTATGTATGTTTGTTTGTTTTCTGAGGTTTTTGCGGGTATTTGTATGTGAATCTTTGGTTATTCAGGTTTTCTCCCGCGTAAAATTGGAAGTGTCTAGGTGACGTTTCGATGAAGTCTCATTCATCATCTTCAGGCTTGTGTCTTCGGCTTTGTGCTTCTCGGAATATACATACATACATATACATATGTGTGTATACACACACACACACACACACACACACACACACCAAAGAAATTTGGAAGTAATTCTTTTCCTCATTTTCCTCTTGTTTGCTTGCACTTGCACTTTTTTCTTTCCTGGGCTTTCTCTTTTTTCTGTTTATTAATTTATTAATTTAGTATTTTTTTTCTGAAAATGGATTAATTATATACTTTTTAAAAAAGAATAAATACAAATAGAATTTCTTTTTCTTTTTTTTTTTTTTTAGTGAGAAGGAATTTCAGAGAGATGAAAGGAAAAGAAAACTTTGAGAAGAAGAGGGTCATAATGGCTGAATCTTCTTCCCACAATACAATTTCTCAGTTTTAATAGTACCGTGTTTCTCATATAATAAGGCCGGGTCTTATATTTTTTTGAGCCCCCCAAAAATGGCTAGGCCGTCTTTTCGGGGGTGACTTAATTTTCCCCCCCCTTGCATCTTTGGGCGGGCGGGCAGCGACGACTTGGATGTTGACTTCGGCGTTGGTGGGGCACTTCGTATCGGGGTCAACGCAGGCAGCACCATATCTGGGTGTGCCACAAAAGTACTTCCTAACGGCAAGCCCCACCCCCCGCCATTCCCTCCCATTTCACATGTTTTAATATAGGCCTTAATTTGGGGGGAGGGGCTTAATTTCATTTCATGCCTATAAAACATGCTGGGACTTCCTATTGGGGGAGGCCGTATTGTTGGAAAAACAGGGTACTTTTACAAAAACTGTTCATCATATTTGTGCAATAAGCCTTTTACTAAAAAACAAACAAGCAGCTATCAACTAAAGTGAATTTGACCACAATAAAAGTTAACTTTGGGGGAAACAGATTGAATTGCAAAGCATGAAATATAATTACAACAGAAACATTGAGACAAACTTCCATGGAGAAGTAAATCCAGAGGAAAGTATACTGCAGTTTGAGTGTGACTACTTGTGACAAAGTAAGAATAAAAATCCTGGGCTTGTTTTTGTTCCAGGTAGGCTATAGTTTGTAATCCATTTACATAGCGGGGCTGTAAAACTTGCAGCCTGTGGACTAGATGCATCACACACTGGCCATGCCCACATCATTTAGCAAAGGGGGAAAAAGTCACGATATGTCATGTGACGCCATCATGACACTGTGAGTTTGCTACCCATGATTTTGAGTATCACATGAATGCAACTCTTTCAGGAGCTAATTTTTGATATGAAGGTTGCTTTTTTCATTTAAAAATTTGAAGCTAGGGAAACTGATAATGTGTATGAATTAAGCCTTGATTTGTTTAACTGTGGTTTAATAAATTACAATTTTCTGAGTTCACGTATGTTCAGACCTAATTTACAGTATATAATGATTGGTGTTATAAATATATAAAATATATTGTCAGAACCAAATGAACCATATTATGGCTTATCACAATGCGATGTTCACAGAGATGGTGTACTTTTAAGATTCTATTTTTGGTAGGGGGGGGAGTTGAGCATTTCATTCTTAATATCCCTTTCAGGTTGAAAACTGTAAGACTCTATTGGGTGATGCATTCTCCTCAAAGTAATTTTGGGTCTCTCAATTCTCTGGAGACGTGCCTCTGGAAGTATGCTGATGCCGTGTGCCAGATTGGGAAAAGAAAAGGGCATGACTAGCTTCTTGGTCTGTGTCTTTGAGGCAATTAGTCTAATGGGTGCATGCTTAGGAATACAGCCTGTCTCATTATCTCTGGCTAGCCTACAGCTCCTTTTGTAGGTTTCTAAGTGGTTGATTGGTTCTGCAGACAGTTGTAAGTTTTGTTAGTTGAGGGAAAATGACAAAGCAGGTAGATGTCTTCCTTGTCTCTAAGAGACGGTAGACAAAAAGGCTATTTAGCTTTTTTTTCTTGACCCTATCTTGAGGATGGTAGGGAAAACTTTACTCTGAGGGGAGGAGGAGGACATAAGCTGGAACAATGTGGTTGCACATAACCTGACCTTATAAAATGGCATCTTTTTCTCCAGCATTTCATTAGAGCTTTGCCTTGGAAGGTTATATCAGAAGCCCTCTTGTGACCTTGAAGAGACCAAGATTATGACGAACCACAATATTAAGGTAACGGTTGTGCCTCTTTCTAATTGGCCAAAACATATAAGGAGAGGTTTATGTTGGTTTTAAAATAGCAATTGAAGAAAGAAAACCTTTTCAAAAGCGCAGAGGACTAATTTGGAAAGGAATGGAAAATAATTGACCAATCTAATGTTCCTATACAACTTGAAATTAAATCTGTATGTTGAAAATACTTACTTCAGGAGGCTTGGGCTTATAGGGCAGATTGCAATATCGCTGATTGTATAGAATGCGCGGTAGTCGGGAGAATCCTATGAGACTCAAACGTTTGAATCAATTTAAAATTGATGCAGTGGATGATATTAAACTTGTACTATGCTTAGAAGTAACCAATTTCTCCTTGTGGCTCTTGATTTCTATCATGCTCTCATTTGTGAGTTGCATCGGAGCAATAAGAAGAAAATGGAAAAGAAAAGCAATACTATTATCTCTGGTCAGATTAATTTAGAGAGCTTAGATAGAACTGTCCACATTGGATAAATGCATGTTGTGGATGTTGATGTTAACCTTGGATTAAATGGATGAGGAAACCGAGTCAAGTAACCTTCACTCAGCAAAGACATTATTGGGGAGGATGACCTTGATCAGAAATTTTCTGGGGAGGAGGACTCCTAGCAGAAAAATTGAAAATGTCCTCCGTGAAGAAACAGCGCTGAGAAGACAATCAAAGGGACAGCGGCAAAATGCCTGAATAGGGTAAGTGAGAGATGGAAGATGGAAAAAGAAACCAGTAAGAATGGTCTTTCTTGATCTGGGCAAAAAAATATATATTTGGATTAGGAGAAGGCACTGAATAATTTAAGTACTACTGGTACATTCAATACAGATACAGATAAAGCCATCTGAAAAAGAAGCTATAAGTAAATGACTGCAAATACCTTATGGACTTTTTGTGTGTAAAATAGAAAAAAAATGAACTTATGGTTTGTGGTTTTGATGATTAGACAGGGTAGATTGTAGAAAGAAGAAATTTATGTTGTAGCCAAAGAGAAACAGGTAAATTTATGACTGTTATATATAACGGTTGTAAAGAAGATCAGAACCTACTTCTGTATATCTTCTTTCTTCCTATTTTTCTTTTTCTTTTTCATTTCTTATACTTTTACATTTCTCTTTGTCTTTGATTTCTTCTCTTTTTCTTACTTTATATTCATCTGAATTAGTTTTTAGCTTCCTTTTAAAAATATGTAATAAATATACATATGAAAATAAAGCTGCAAGTACTGTAGGAAAACTGTAAAGAGTTCTGGCTGCCTGATGTTAGAAAGAAAATACTAAATTGGGGATGGGGAAGGGGCAAAAAAAGAAAGAAAGAAGAAGCCTAAATGGTTGAAAATGGAGTGGTGAGTTAAAGAATCTTCAATGCAGAGAAAGTTTAGAAGTTAGATTTGCTAGTTTCAAAAAATAAATGGTTAAGTTATAGGTGCATGGCATCAATTGATGAAATGCATGATGTGGAAGAAACGACTGAGAGTTTCTTTTTTTCCTTCTAACCACTGGCTTAAATCCCTTTAAAGATGGGGAACACACAAACTGATGTGGGCTATTGATGGCCACTAGTGGTGCCATTTATATGTAATCACTGAATGATAAGACTCAAAACACTTTGAGTTAAAGAATGCTAACTGGAGGTTACTGCAGATTTTCGCATCTTCCTCATGAAGTTGAGGCTTGAGGCATCTCACTAGCCATTAGCACAAAATGGTTGGTCTACTGAATTGCTCCAATTCATGAACTTAGTCTCATTAGGGATCTTCTTCCCAGTATCAAGGAGGAAAGGTTTATATCCCCATGCCTCTTGCTAGTTAATTCCATCTGCATTTTGAAGCCTCAATTATTTTGCATATAAAATGCAAAAAATGGCTTAGTTCCCAGAACACACTTGTAGCTAACCTACCCATGATTCGTAAATCATCCCAATTTTCTGGGTTCACACTGATAAAATAACACCACTGGCTGCTTTGCATAATGCACCTGTTCTAAGCCTGATCATAGAACTGGGAAGCAGCAAAGAAAAACTGTGTGAGATACTTTGAGGCTTGAAAAGAAGTCATTAGTGCAAGGACACCCATAATAAATGTTAAAGTCTTCTCCCTTTTTTATTCATTAATATTAGAATAATAAAAATCCCCAAATAGTTATTAATCCAGTTTTTTTCTGCTCCCCCTCCCCAATTCCTCCTATTTAGATTTTTTTAGAAGTATCTCTTTGTTACAATCTGAATCAGCATATTAATTTAACCAAAGTAAGGATAATTGAAATGTTGGCTGGAATTATGGGAATTACAATGCAACATATCTGGAGGGCATTATTATTAGGAAAGCAACCTTGTTACAATCTTATATTCTCTGGTCTCCTTGGTGCATTCTTAAGTTTCTTTGTCAGAATTCATTTCAGCTTCTCGTGGAAAATGCTATTCTTTAGCATAGACTGGGTTCATATGCAATATACTGCATCACAAATTAGCTGTTCATCTTTTTATGTCAGCAAACCTAGTCTGAATGTCAAATTTATAGCTTAGTGCAATGTTGCTCAGCCTTAAAAAATTCAAAATGTATGGACTTCAATTCCCAGATTGTTCGTGATTCAGTTCTAGGACTGAAGTCTGCAAATCTTAAAGTTACTAAGGCTGAAGATGCACTAATTTAGTGGACTGTATGAACTCACAAAATCAAATTAACAGATTAACTTCATCTTCTATTAAGTAATAATTTAATAATAAGTTGACATAATTGCTCTTTGATAGCCTATATGGATCATTCAACATAAGAGGAAAAAACGAAGGATTGCAGAATTTATGCAATTTATGACGTTTGTGGAAAAGAGTGATTCAAAGAACACAAATGTAAACCAGGCATATTATGGCTTTTGTATGATTCTGTGGTTTTATTTTAAACCGCAAGAGAAAGTACTGAAAATTGAGAGACAATAAATAATAAATAAAATAATTACTTTGGGGAGAGGGTGGAGTATAAATTGGTTGTTTATGTTATTGGATAGAAAATTGAGTTCTGAGAAAATGAATGGAAATATCTGGAAGGAGAACAAGGATGACTGGCATTCTGACTATTGCAGTCCAGCTTATATGACCTAATGTTTATTACTGCAACATGCCAGGATTCTATGAGTAGTCAATGGGTGAAACCATATTTACTTAATGACTGAATGATTCACTTAACAACTACAGTAATTCACTTAACAACTCTGACAAAAAGGTCATAAAATGGGGCAAAAACATGCCTTGCTTAGCAACAAAATGTTAAGGCTGAATTGTGGTTGTAAGTCAAGGACCACCTGTATATTTGGAAAATATTTTTTAATAGTTAAAAGTAGTTTTTTTAAACTATTCTTAACTTTTAAATTACAATTTAATTGCTTTGAAAAGCTTGTTATTTATTTCTAGTCACTCAGGCCATGCAAGAGTCTAGTCAAATATGCAACATATTACAGTGAGAATAGTTTGCATATCTGACTACAGATTCAGTTCTATTTATAATAAAATTATTGTTTTCAATTCTGAATGGTCATTGGCATTTCTGTCTGAATCGCCAAATGACCAGATCACTTTTTCTGCACTCTCTCCTCACATTTTTGCATTATTATTTTGTATAGCAATTTTTTTTCCCTTTAGGTCAGATTCATTGAGAATATTGTATGGTTTCCATATAACTCTTCCCTGGTGATTTCACTATCCCCATTCTCTGGGGTAGGGCATGGAACTATAAACTTTCAAACTTTCAAACACATCGGTAGTCAAGATAGCACTCATTCACGCTTTGTGACATAATTTTAGTCATTTGGTTCATAATTTAAGTCCACATTTTACCTTCCATACATGTATTTTATCCATTTTTCCATGATGAGAATAGACTTCATTCAGGTCTATTACATCTTTCCTCTTTCTCTTAATTTCACAAGTTACACAGCATATCTATTTTTATTTCATTCATTTGCTAATTCTCATTCTTTTTCATTTATTATCCATGTTTTAAATTTCAGTTTTTTATAAAGGAAATCATCAGATGGACTTAGAGACCTTGGCCTCTCAATGCCATTCTAGGTTTGATTAATCAAATGTTTTGCACAAGGCTTTTTAATAAGAGAAGGCTAGCAGACTTGGTTACACTTATGCCATTTGCAATATTCTCTGCTAAAAGCAAGAACAGGCACTGATATTTCCTGTTTACTTTGGCCAATAGGCCATCAACACAACCAGAGCCACATTTTAGCCCAAGCATGCTCATGTTAGAATCCCTAATTTAAAAACCACCTCGCAAATCAATATCCATATACAGTGTACAAACACACATTCAGGAGACATCAAATCCAATTCTCTCCCTTGCCTTGCAGACTGTTTTCTTCTTCTTCATGGCCAGTACCCTATCTATTAGGCAGAGTGAGGTAGTCAATCATTTTCAGTATCATAAACAGAAAGCAAATGGCTAGCTATTCTCTTTATTATTAGATATGTCTATAGGATTTTCTTCCTCAGGGACCCCAAGACCTGCCTTGGATGCTAGTCAGAACTGATCATAATACCCAGGACTCTCAAGTTACTTTTTAAACTAGAGGTAAAATAATATAATCATTTGCTCACTTGCTTTTCAGTACAAAATCAGCAGCTGGCTTCAGACTAATGGTACAGAAGCAAGACTATTTCAGGCAATGTCTTGGGTCAGTGCTCAGTTAAAACTGATGACTTTGATGTGACACCTCTCTGCAGATTTTTTTTTTTTAAGTTGCCTTGAAGGAGGTTTGATAAATCCTTCCCACCTGATAAACTAAATTTGCCTTTCTTACATTCTCTGCAAAATTTCCTTAAATCTTTGGTATCTGTCCTGTTCCAAAGATTGATTCCTGCTCATTCATGCTTTCAGTGTTTTTGGTTCACACATCGTAGCCAGCCTCGATGTACTTCTTTCTTTCTAACACTGTAATGTTTGGACCCACCCACTTTGACTTATTCAGCAAAACATACTTTAAAATAAACCATGGTTAAATAGGGTGGGCCCAATTTTTAATTATATTCATGGAAGTCATTCCAGGAGAACCTTGGTGATGTAATTAACACAACAGAATATATTTTTAAGGCAGACGTGGGGAATTTCCTTGATTTGTTAACAATTTCTCTGATGGAAGTTACATTTTTCATCTGTGCGGACCAGGTTTTACAATAGTGAGGCATGCTGGGACATGTAGTTCTGGAGTATCACACTTTCTCTAACTTCGACCTATCCTTAAAATGTGCTCACCTAGATCATATCTTTACAGGTTCAGAGAGCCACCTCAGTCCTCCTGATCTTGCTACTGTGCTCCTTTGCCGGGGCCAAACGAGCCGTGCCAGATTGCTGCCGGCAAAAAAGCTGTTCATGCCGCATCTTTGATCTGCTCCATGGGATGGGCAACCATGCCGCCGGCATCCTGACCATCGGCAAGCGTAGCAGTGCCATGACTACCAAGGGCTTCCAGAGCCGCCTCTACCGCCTTTTGCATGGCTCAGAAAACCAGGCTGCTGGGATTCTCACAATGGGCAGGAGAGCGACTGGGCTCCTCTGGCACCTCGATAAGAATGCACCCAGCATCTCCTAGATGACGCCCACCTTGTACGCTGAAGAGCCTGACCCAGTCATGGGCTGCCTGACTCCCCAGAAGACCAGTTACATTCACTAAGAAATTACAAATAAGGAAATCCTTTTCAAGAGATTGCACGAGTCCTTCCTGCTTTCTATCATTACTGCTGTAGGTTTTATTCTATTTTACACCAGCCAGGTGCTAGGTGCTGCCCAAAGATAGCAGCGGTGCAGTTAGTCCATTCTGTAAATAGCTATTTCATTTATCTGTCACCACATTTTCTTCCAAATAAAGCCTCTTGTGTTTAATAACTGCTTTGTCCAAAGATCTGTGTGAATTCCGCCCAGAAAAGCTTGATGGATCAACCAAAGTTCCATCTCGACCAGCTTTCTATTTCTCAAACTCTTTTATACAGAAAGCAGGATATACAAGACTAGAACTTGTTTTTCTCTTTTGCTGCTCAGTGGCACCATGCCTCTCAATAGGAAAGCTCAGATTGCCTAGTCCCGTGATGGCGAACCTGTGGCACGCATGCCAGAAGTGGCATCTCTGCCGGCACACAAGCCGTCACCCCAGCATAGGCCCACGGTGCATGTGTGCACACCTCCTGCCAGCCAGCTGATTGTTGGGTATCTGCTGTGCATGCATGGGGGCGGGTCATGTGCGCATGCACAGAGGTGTGCAATGCACACAGGGGTGGGAGGTCACGTGCGCAATGCATTATGGGTGCAGGGAGGCATGCGTGCACACACTTTCACCACACGATGATGAAAAAGTTAGCCATCACTGGCCCTAGTCTGTCTTCCAATATTGAAGAGAGATGTATTGCCTCCAATTGCCTTAAAATTACCAAATAAACCATTCATCGAACCAAACATCCAGGCAGAATTTCCTTAACATTGTTTTTTTGTCAATCATGAATGTTAACCCACATGAGTGCCCATCCCAATATCTATTTTTTATTTTATTTTATTTTATTTATTTTATTTGTCAATTGTTTACAAGATAATAGGTATAAGTATAAACATACTTATGAATTCATGGAATGGATACATATAAGAAAAATAAAAGAAACAATAGGACAGGGACGGTAGGCACGTTGATGCGCTTATGCACGCCCCCTACAGACCTCTTAGGAAAGGGATGAAGTCAATAGTAGACAGTCTAAGGTTAAAGTTTTGGGGGTTTGGGGAAGAAACCACAGTCAGGTAGAGTGTTCCAGACATTGACTACTCTGTTGCTGAAGTCGTATTTCCTGCAATCAAGTTTGGTGCCAGACATGGCTCATGCTAAGATTTTTAAAGCTATTTTAAAAGGGCAAATTCCACTGCTGTTATCTCTGTGCTCCCAAACTGTTTGAGCTCTGCTGATCTGCCTCTACAGTAATTGCTTCTGCCTGCCTAAGACTGCCGACCAGGAGCTCTGTTGCTTTTTTATGATTTCATGGGGTTGGCAGATATTGGCAGCCAGAGGGCAGTGTTGGCAAAGAAAGCTTGGCTACTCCAAATCTCTTTGTGTGCTAGATTCTTTTGTGTGCTGCCAGATGTTTGATTGACCGTCTGAGCAGTCTGATCTGGAATCTATAATTCAAACTATGTAAGAAATATTTGTGGTTAATACAAAGTTTGTTCAGGAGCACTTTTCTTATTTGAGGCTTCCTTGTGCAGAATCCTATAGCCCAAATGAACCTAACTTTGATGTGAATTTAAATAGTTCCACTCAGAATCATAGAATAGCGGAATAGAAGACGCTTCCTTTCTTTTTATCTTCTTCACTTTTTACAAATTGAACAATAGTTAGTTTCTAGCCAGCATTAAATACAATTCAATCCAACAGCATCCTTTGTGCAAACAGCAGGCACCATAATCCCCAGACAAGCAGTCAATTATATTGCTGTTGAATTAAGCTATCGGCAGTCTGATATTTGCATGGAGTTCTCAACCAATTTGATAAAGTCTTTGGGCTAATTTAATGAATGGAGGGTGGGAAACCCAGAGGGATAGAGAGGGATGCAAATATTTGAAAAAGTATTTACATTTGGAACAGGAAATTCTCTAAATGGTCAGTTTTGAGTTTTCCTAAAGGAGAATCAGGTTTCAGTTAAAAAAGGATGCAGTGATTGTATTTAAGCTGAGTTTAGGCTTCAACATTAAGTGAGGCCCTCCTTCTGTAGCATAAACTAATCACAAAGTCTGAATTTGCACACAACAATTAAAACTAAAATATTGTGGCATGTGTGTGTAACATATAGCATGTCGTATGTAACATATGTAACATACTGACTTCCAGACTCCAATTTCAGAAAAAAGAAATGAGAGACAGAACAGGCAATTTTGGTTGTGGAAATTCAGCACCAGAACTTATTATCCTTCTGTTTTCTGAAATTGCAAGTAAAAATGGGACCTAACTTATATTCCTTGATTGGTGATGGGTGAGTATGTGGTTGTGATCACAGAACAAATAGATCACTTACAGACCTACAAAGTATATTCTCACAACATGAAATTTAACTTCCTTTTTTCCTAGTGTGTGAATTTAGCCCCTTGGATTAGTTTATCATGAAATATCAGTAACCAGGTTAAGTCTACCAGTGGCTCCATCGTTTCACACTTGTCTCTTATTTCTACTTTACTTTCTGTGGGTTTTTTTTTTCAAGAAAGAAGAAATCCCCTCGATTCCTCGATCCAGTGCCCGCTCTTTTTAGTTGCGAGGCAAGGCCATTCGGCCGCAGGTGTTTCCGCGTTGTTTGCACGCGGTGCGCTGAACTAAGCGCTTGAGATGCCGCTCGTGGGAACCTGCGCGAGCGGGCGCTGAAATCTGGGCGGGATCCCTCTGGATCCCTCCCCAGCCCCGTCGTCCGCGCCAGCCCGCTAATTGCACGGCTGGGATTAGAAGGGAGGGAAATGACAGCCGGGAGGGAGGGAGGGAGGCGGTGAACTCCCAGGCAGCTGTTTCGCCTCGCCGTTCCCCTCGCGCCAGCCCCAGTTGGGACATAACGCGTCCCCTCACTCCCTCTTGCGCTCTTCTCCACGGCTGCGCTTGGACTCTCCCCGCTGGGCAGCGGACCCCGCGGGGGTAGCGGGGCGCCGATGGTGGTGCCCCCGCCGCCATGCCGGTAATGAAAGGCTTGCTAGCCCCACAGAATACCTTCTTGGACAACATCGCCAACAGGTTCGATGGGACACGTAAGTGGCCTCTGGAACTCCCCTTTACTCGGAAGAGAGTTCGTCGGCTAGGGTTGTATTTGGAGGGCGGAAGAGCTCTGCGGCATCGCCCTGGTCCCTCGCGGAGTTCACTGGAGATATCGGGGCAAACTCTTAGATTTCTCGTTGCCTTCCTTTCCTCCGCACCCAGGCAGCCTTCTCTCCCTTCTCCCGCCGACGCGCTACCCTACTCTTCTTAGTTGGAAAGTTAAAACTCCACTTGAGAAGAAGGAGACAGGCAGGTGGGGATACGAGGCCACCTCACCTGAAGATTCCCCTCCCTCTTCCCCGTCTCTTCGAGACCGGAGAGGAAAGAGGTTTTTGGGATGGGAGGGGGTGGCGGCATGAGGTATGTGCCCAACCCCAGGAACAATAACGGGCTTTCCGTGCTGTTTCTTCCCGCGCCCTCCCGTCCCGCTTTGTGCTCCGTTTCTTTCTGCGCCAGTCTCCCCCCCCGATTCCCCGCTCCCGAGTTAACAAAGAACCGATAGACCCTCTTTGTCTTTATCCGAGCGGCAACCTGAGACCTGAGCTCTCTCCCGTCCCTCCCCCATCAGGTCGATATTTTCGGGCATGCCTCAGCAGTTGTAGGAAAAATTCGTCCCTGGCCCCCAATTTTGACTGTTCAGATGAACTGATGAACCCCTTCCTTTGGCTTTTTTAGGAGGCATGCATTGAACGCTAGGTGTTATTAACCTGCACTCTTCTTTAAACTATGCTTGTTTAGATGTGTGAAAGGAGACCGAAGTAATGGTAAAGAGTCTTTTTTAGACAAGCCTAGTTTGGGGAGGGGAGAGGGAACATTTTAATCTCTTTTTCCCACCACATAAGGAATCACTCCAAATCTGTCTTTCAGTAAAGCAGTTGAACCACTGGCTATCCTCCAAAATTCACTCTAAAAAGGGAGCTGGCGTATTCGGTCCAAAGCAGGATAAGCCATCTTACTGTGTTTGGGATGGAGCAAGGGATTCTGCTTCAAAATGTTGATCTGAGGCCACTCCTACTCTTTTCAAACCCAGGAAATGTGGATCAGTACAGGAGAGTGCCTCTGAGCATGTGCAAAGTAACTTTTCTTTCCTGGTAGATGATGAAATAAGAGATGGTCCCTCCTCCCCAGTTAAAAATACTTTCCCCTCCTTTCCCCTCCCCCTCTGCAATTGCAATATGTTGGATACCAATTTCTCAGGGAGAAGGGAGTAGGACCCATTCACCTCCTTTTGATAAAGCACTTGGTACATAGGTTGTGAAAATACGGCCCACAGCTGCAGAAGGATGGGCAGTCTGTCAATAAGGGAGCATGGGTTGCACACATCATCTCTTTTAAAAACTTTTCAACTTGTTAGTCTGTAATCTTATTCAACTCCACACAACTTTTTGAATTTCTAAAAACTTTGAGTTTCTAGGTGTCATGAAGAGTATCAAAATCTGTAGCTAAACTGTGTCTCATTTCACACTATAGTATTGCTGCACAATTCCTGTTAAAAGGAAGTGGCATAATGAGGATGCAGTGAGATATTATTAGATTTTGGTTTAATAGTCTTATGGGATGTTACGTGTCAGATGGTGATGGACATTTTATTCACTTACTTACTGAGATAAGGCCCTTTTGCTACATAAGGGTAAATTTTTTCCTGCTTCTTTTGCTGAATGGGAGCAAATGAGGCTGGTCAGCCTTTGCCTTGATCAGCCTTTGCCTTGTGACATAGGTTGCATTGAGGGAGAGTGCCAAGCCCACAATAAGCCACCAAACATTTTAGCTGCAATACTGTGATGCTATTGAAATAGAATGTGGTAGATTCCATTCAGTGGAAGCAT